ATCGCTGCTGATAGGGCGCATGCGCAGCCGGCGATGAGCAGCCAGAGTGGCAGCTTGTAGCAGCAGCGCCGGCAACGATTGTCGTTTAGGCGGTTGGGTGATCAGTTTGTTAACTCGCTGGCAGACGATGACGATGATGCTTTGTATGAAAAGTGTTTTGTTATGCTTTTTTTTTTTGTTTAGTTATCAGAAGAATTTTTCCATTTTTGTTTTTGTTTTGCTGGCCTGCGAAAGACTTCCAAAATTTGATGCTTTGTTTTTTCGTAAGAGTTATTTGTTTTACTTCGTTTTTTGTTTTTCAAAAATTTATGCACCCTTAGGTTTGTATGCATTCAAATTATTTTGCTTTTTTTTGGATTTTTACACATGTACATACATACATATATTCTATTTATCAGCCTTATTTTACAGTATCGTGTGAAGCTCATCGGTCCCTCAAAAGAGTTAACTAACATCGTCCGAAAGTATGATGATTTAGATTAAGTTGAGGCGTTTTTTGGCAAATAATTTCTGCACCAACAGAAACAACAACACTATTGGCCTAACAGGTATTAAAAACAAATATTAAGGCGTTGTTGATAACCAGCGATTTTGCCTGGGGTTGCCACGACTTTATTTGCCCCCAAAAAAATTCTATAGCCAATGCAAATGATCTTAACCAACAACTACATTTTAAATTGGTGCATCCATACATACATACATGCGTGCATATGTACATATGTATGTATACACGGCAAACAATCAACAACGAAAAGTGCTCAACTTTTCGAACATCTGTCGATCGGTTGTCGTTGATAATTTCTATTGTGACCCTTCATTTTTTTCGCTCGCTTGTTTGGTCTTTGTTAAAAATATTTAGTTGCAACCATCATCACATAATCGGTTTGCTTTTGTCTCAAACATATTACCACGTTTTTATTCCCCTTCAACTCTGCATATCTGCTTACATTTATGAATATGAAAATTGTCACGAGTTATTGTGGTCGTTGCCGCTTTATTCGCATACCCTTGCGCCTTGTGCGCCATGCCGGCCCTTCTACTCCCTCCCTAGGGCATTAAAAACAGACATTTGCATTGTGTTTCATAGAGGGAGAAGTATGTATGTATGTAAGTATTTATACAAACGCACTGCAGTTCGGTATCTGGGGGATACCAATGGATTATTATTGGCCAATGAGGTACTTTAATAACCATAATCAGGATATTATTGTAATATTAGTGTATAAGTGCTCAGTGGAAAGTAATAGTAGATATTGATAAATTTTGCAAACTTTATTTGTATGTAGAAGGTAGGATCACAAGTGCAGGAAATGCACACAGCTGGAGTTTGAGTGGCGACGAATCGTTACGAATTTGGATTGCGGAAGTACGCAGAGTCAGAAGCTTATCGCAGATGTGCTGGTTAGCGCAAAAGTGACTCCTTCAAAACTTTTTAAAGTTTTCATTGAAGGGTAAGCATGTGCATTAGCGATTAAGTACATGGCTGACGCAGCGCTGTACACATGGTACTCGTGAAGTCTCTTCGAATTATTCCAGCATAAATTTCTTAGTTAATTAGTTAAATTTCTGCGTATTTAGTTCATTTTCGGTCTATTAAAATATTTCACTAGCAGAGACATAAGTGCTGGAAATGCTTGTATGAACAAATGTGTCCACCGAGCTCGGCTGAATTCTATCATGAGTATTTGCTTGGAGAGGGTCCAACAGTATATATACTTTACAATAGGTCCATTCTTTTGCAATAGAGTTACAAACGAACACTCGCTTAAATGACGACATACACGCAAAGCAACAACACAAACTGGGCTATTTCTCCGCAGAGTAGTGTTGTTAAGTGAAAAAACTGCTGTATTATGAATTGTTAATGGGAAAGTGGAGAGGGAAATTTTTGTTTTCGTATATACATGATTTGTATTTTAAATAAGTATATATATTACGCAAATACCTCGCATAATCACTAATTTCTATTGTTTTTGTGTCTAAATCCCGATGAACTAATCACATGTTTCTTGCCATGTGTCGGCATGGGATATCGGCATAGCGGCCTACAGATAAACTTACTAAAGAAAGAACCCAAAATAGCGAACCCCTTGAACAAATGAATTTTTCTCCTACATATTACAAATCGCAAAAGGGACACATCTAACATGCAACACAGAAACAGAAACAGACACACAACAAACCAACTAGCAAGTCCTAAGAATATGTAATCGCAAATCAGTTCGTCGTGGCATGTTTTTGCATTAAACAAGTGAACTTGTTGCTTGTGGCACGTTGCCACTTTTAACTCAAAATCTCACTGATTAAGGCATAATTTCATGAATACCAACTCAAATGCCCCAGAGCAGGACGAGAATTACTCGTGTCGATGTTGATTTCAAATAATTCCATGAATAATTCGCCATCAGACAACAGAGAGACAGTGCAATCGGATGGCCTGGTACCTGCGTACAAACATACTCGTGTATGTACAAAAACAACAAAAATTAAAAGCATAAAACCTAAAAACATTTCATTATTGCGCGACACAATCGGAATATTTAATGATTTAATCAGTGGCAACACATCGCACAGCATCAGGAACAACAACAGCAAACAGTGTGGGCATGAGGTAAATAATTGCAAGCGAACAGTGAGTAGTGTCCAAAGAAATACACAAACATATGTACATATGTACATACTTGCTGCAAACATTGCGATTCACATAGAAACTGTTTAGTTGCGCTGATAACACCGCCAGACGACAAGTTCACAGATTCTTGCCACACTTCTTCTGCGATATGTATGTATGTATGTATAAATGTCCCTTTAGCCTTTTTACTTGTTTTTGCCTTTGGTTTTTGTCAATTCCTTAAATTTTGTAATCTCACAGCTTAAGCAAAAACTAAAAAAAAAAAGAAAAAATAAACCGCGAGGACACTAAGGCGAATGAAGTCGAAACATGCGAAATAGTGGCGCGAGTCTTGTGTTTATCGAGGAAGATTGCACATTTGTATATCAACTATGAAAATGTGTTGGTGTTTATCTGCACACCACAGAAAATGTGTTCGCTCAGCGGAACTCCAAGAATATGAAGACGACGAAAACTAACAACCAGCTTACGAAAGCTTAACTGCTCCTCTGCCGTACACCACGGAATCGCAGCTGTGACTCTATGAGACTACATACGTCCATTTGGTTGTTGGTTGGTCTCAAAACGCCTTACCCTCCCTCCATTGCTGTGTGTGTTGGACGGTGTTGCTGGCACTGCTTAATGCAGCAAAAGTTCTAATTAAACAATTCGTAGAATTTCGCGTTAATTGCAAGCGAGTGAAGAAGCGAATGTGGTGACGGTGGCGGTGACGATGACCATGACGGTAACTGCAGCTAAGGTTGTGGCTGTGGCTATGGCTGTCGGGAGTGAGCTAAATTAAATAAACAAAGCAGAAAGTGAAACGAACGAATGAATATTGGCTGTCCAGTGCAAGCAGCGAGCAAGTACTCGACCATTCCAAGTGACACTGGAGTTTATGCACTTGCAACGTGCACCATTCTGAACCCGCTTCTCCTTGCCACGTACCCAGTCCGGCTAACGTTGATGGAAATTTGGCTGGCTACAACACGACTTCAAGTTCAGTGGAATACAAGTGTCGCAGCCACATTGAAAGTGGTGTCATTAAAAGTGATCAGAGAAATTCTAGGAATGTTGACATTGCTTTGAGGAATTTCGTTATGTGATTTTTTGAGCAGTGAAGTACTTGCTTACTTTTTAGGCCAGAGCAAAAAGTGCGCTGAGGAAAGTGCGCCGTATTTTGAGGGCACCAGTGATGCCAAAAAGTAGTTAGACAAGAAAAATATCTCAAAATGGTTTAAATTTTCCCATTTTTTCTCCACTCTCTAAAACGAAAATCTCTCATTTTTTCACATGCTAAATTTATTATATTTACACAGATATTCCAGAGGGTAGAGGGTCCATTATGTTTATGTTAGCTGAAGATATCTGCGGCCGCTGTGGCGAGTGGTTAGAGGTGCGCAGTACCACATCACAAAACCTAGGATCTATATGCACTTTTCATATTATATATGTACTATACGCACGCGCGTATGTATGTACATATAAACATATTAATTTTCTTCTTTTCAGACATATCCGTCCATTTAAACGTATTATTCATTTAGTACCTATTATTTTTTCCAAAATGGTAACACGGTCAAACCGAATTCCCGTAGATGGCAAAAAGCCAACTGCAAAACGGTCATAAAGTCAATTGACATTGTGGCCACTTCAAAATAAAGTCAATTGGCCTTATGGCCACTGACCTTATGTCTGTGCTACATATCACCGAATTTATTAAATAACTTTTGGAATTAATCATATCATTAAAATTTCAAAGCCAGTCCTTAAAAAAGATCTGACGTCAGAAATAAAAACTAAAAAACGCAATTTTACTACATATATTTTACCCATAGTTTCCTGAGTATATTGATACCTTCGTGTGTCTTGAAATTCTCTTATTGTTGTCGCATGGTCTTATCAACAGAGAGTTTACTGTGACAATGACAAAGATGGGCTCACTAAAACTTATAGCTCCAATACAACTGATTGTTCAGATATCAGGTTTTGCCTTATAACTTCTTCATTTATTATAAAGTATTCGGCATAGTCGAAGACAACATCGTTTTTACTTATTTTATTTCGTCTGGTATATTTTGCCTTTCCTTTATTTCTTAGCACTCTACAGCTAAAAATACAATATAGCAACCCTAGTAATTTTTAAAAGTACAACACTTAAGAAGCCAAAGCTTGTAACAAGTCTTTACTATAAAGCAAAGAGAAACTTTTCATCGGTTGATGTCTCGCTTCTGAACTTTTGATCATAGCTTATAGACCGCCTCATGCTGCGTATATTTCAAGCTTATGAGAATCGTAATTGAGCAATTACTTATAAGTTGATGCACATGAAATATATAAGCCAGCCTTATCACTATAAGCACTCCCGCTCTCAATGAGATACTGATAACATGCACAGCTGAGATCACGGCTTAAAAGTAAACAATAGCTTTCGTATTTTCTAAAATCCACGGCAATCGGTTGGACACACATATAAATATCAATACGGCACTGCAGCCTCAGTGAGTGTTTAAAAAATAAATAAATTGAATTTGATCTCATTTGAAATTGATCAGTGCCAAGTGTCGAACGGAAATTCATATTAATGTGTAAAAAGTGATTCACCAAAACCTAGAGTGGAAAGGCGATTACCCAATAAGTTGCCAACAAAAATGGGAAACTCGAATTTCATAACATTCTTTGTTCTACTCGCTGCACAATGCGGCCTATGGTCCACTGCTGAATCGCTCCAACTGAACTTAACCGAAAGCTGTGCGAACACACAAATCGTATATTGTACTTTGTCTAACATCACCGCAACGCTTAGTGACCCGCTGACCTTAGTCAATGCCACTGCTCCCCAGTTGTACGAGTTGGTGCTGCGCGATTCGCTAATCTTACGTATACCAACCGCGCTCATTGCACTGGCACCCGCGCTGCGCTCACTTTTCATGCACAACTGCGGACTAAATCGGATCACTACCTTTGACTTCCCAACCGGTCATTCGCTACGCACTTTAGTGCTGCAAAAGAATCGCTTCTTTGATGTGCCAGAGAATGCTTTCGTCGCCATCTACGAACTGGAACAGCTACAGCTCGCACGCAACATGATACACATGGTGCACCAAAATGCATTTAACGGTTTGGGGAAACTGCGGTATTTGGATTTGCAACAAAACGATATACGCGAGCTGCCTAAGTCATTATTTGAGGATCTCGTCAATTTGGAGCACATCGATCTGAGCAGAAATTGTATTGAGAAAATCGACGTCACCACTTTTCATCGAAATCTGAAGCTTCAAACGCTGCTTTTGGGTGATAATAGATTCTCGCTGTTCGAGCCGAACTCCTTGGAACATTTACCGCGTTTACACCTACTCGACATCAGCAACAGTTTGGTCAATGAGCTGCGGCTACAATCTGTCGACACGCTGTTGGTGCAGGCCAGCACGTTGCAGTACATCGCTATCGCGGGTAGCGCAGTCAAAGTGCACGCCGGCAATAATCAGCTGACAAGCCTGAATATCACCGACAAGCTGAGTGTACGTGAACTGGATTTGCATGGCAATCGGCTTGAGTCGCTGGAAGATTTAGTGGGCATGTTGAATCTGCAGCGTCTCGATGTGTCACGCAATCAGTTGCAATCGTTGCGCACTTCGCACTCGCCACTGTACCTACCGCTGCCGAATTTAGTGCACCTAAACTTGGCGTCCAATCAGCTACAGAATCAGACGCTGGAGAGCTTTCTAGTGCTGCAAAAACTGACGCACCTCGATTTGGCCTTCAATCACTTGTTGCATTTGGATCAACGTCTATTCGAGCCACTTGTCAATTTGGAGAAGTTCTACATCGAAGGCAATCGTCTGCACACTTTTGATTATGAACAATTGGTCGCTAAGCACGAGTATCTAAAAGAATTCGGTATTTTCGAAAATGAGTGGGATTATCGTTATATGCGCACCATGCTTGCCTACCTAAAAGAGCATAATATTCAGCTACCGGTACGTTTCACTTCGAACAACAACAATGGCAATAACAATGCGGGTAACCTGTTTGGCTCAACCTTGAATACACTTTCCTCTGGCGATAAGGTAACTCACCATCGCTATGCAGCCACGGCCAGTTCTATAGATGATTCCGATGAGCGTTTAGCTGAGATAACAGCACCGTCGATAGCCAATATCACGGCCATTAATCAGTACTGGACCACGCGCGATGTGCTTACACTGATTATATTGTTGTTGGTGTTACTGATACTATTCCTGCAGCTGTTTAGCGTCCTACGCGAAGAGGAGTGTCTGCCCAGTTGTTGCAATAGAATCGCAAGAAATGCGCATTCGAATGCACGCAGGCGATTGGAGGAAGAGGAGGAAGATTCCGAAGTGTAGAGCTTACCTACCTGGTTTTTTGGTGACAAAGACGCAGATATGTTTGTATGTATGTGGGTATATAGTAATTTCTGAAACTTAATTTTGTGGAATAAAATGTTCGTTAATTTGTGTAAAATATCCACTTATTCAGTTTTTTGGGCAGAGAATCGAAGGACTCTGTGAATTAATATAGAAATACTACGATCTGTCGAATCTGTCTCCTTTTTTTATTTTGGTATCTAACGGCTCGGAAAGCTACATTCCAATTCTGGCAATGCATACTGATACTCGTAAAACCCAGTCAGTTGTAGCTTTGGTAGGGTTGCGAGGGCGTACTGCTTACTTCAACTCGACGCCATATATGTATGTCAATGTGAGTGCCTTTAATGAGTAAGTGACAAAAGGAGGCACAATTCTCTAATCAAGATTCCTTTTTGAAGATCAACTACTTACTTTTCCAAATGAAATTGGGAAGCACGAAGACTTATACCTACGTTATCTCTGCCAGATTGGCTATGAAGTGTGAATTCGAGGTGTTTGAATCGCCACGACTGTAGGCACAGATTTCGACACAGAGCGTGATCAATTGGTTCGTCCCCATTATCACCGTGGCAGCTTCTACCCGAGAGAAAACGTTGGCAATCGCCATGATTGAAACATCGCTGCAATAGCGCAGTGCCCTGCGATAAAGCCGGCAAGAACTTATTCTACTAATCTGTTGGGTTTCAGAAGATCTGCTGTCTTCATACTATTTACACATCGCTTAGTTCATAAGTCAATTGAAATGGATTTACCAGTACTAATGTGCGAATGTATTAACAGTAAGACGATGCCTGAAAAGTCTGAAACAAGTTTGAAATTTGGCATCTTTCAGGCTTTTCAGACTTCAGTTGTGGAGCAGCGACTACACAAATGCTTTGATGGGCAAGCCTAGATATAAACCAAAAATTAATCATATTTTTGCTATTACCAATCAAAATTTAAAAAAAAACTATTTTCGGCCCACGCTAATGTACATACATTACCCATATAAATTTCTAACTGAATTTCTGTGTTGAATCAATCGAGTTAGCGCTACGAGTAAAGAAATCGTCGTCCCGATTTTTGAATAATATGTAGTTCCAAATAAAAAGTTGTACAAATTTGTTCAAATGTACCAATCGTATGATCCGACCTTACACTCTATCTTCATGCGTTTATTTAGAAGCGCTCTTTCGACGACTGGAATATATTACAGCACACATATTTAAATAGAAATGTTAAACCAATGGCACATCATCTTAATAAACTCTTAATAATTTATTATAGCTGTTAAAGGAAGACATCCTTTTTCCAAATATGTACTTTTTTAAACTGAAAAACTCTGCCCGTACGGTTGCCGAATCGGCACAAACTACAGTGACAACCGAAAATTCACCTGACGAGTATTAACTAGCAAAGAAAAAAAAAATTAAGACGCTCCGACGCTGAGGACCTTAGTGCACCTGATTTTAAAGTAAGTCACCGAGCCCCACAGTTCCCAGTATATAATGATGAGATAAAGGAAAACCCTATTGGAATGTTACTACCATGTGTGAATACTAACGATTAGACGTAGTTTGGTTAAGGCCCAAAAATGGTCTCTTCGCCAAGTTTAACAAAAAGTTAACCACCAGTTGTTTTCAAGATTCCGCTAATTTTACAACCCTTTGCGTCCCGAAAATCATGTTTTACATTCCCTGCGTCCTAATTTACATATTCACCTTCTTGCAGGTTCCACTTAATGATGCGTAAAATTTTACTAAGCCCTCGTTGGAAAAAATCTATCAAAAATCTGTAAACAAGTTTCCATACAAATTTCGACAGTTGATTTAAGTTTACACAACTATAAGTTTATACGGTTTATAAAGTGTCTTAACAGATATTTTTCCAATGTACCTACGGAGCATAGTCCATCAATATTCCTAGACGGATTCGTGCAGATAGGCGGAAAACTTTCTGTGACACTTGCTTCCAGTGAACGCTCCTTCTTAAGCATAAATCATAATTGCGACGTAAAACTGGGCAGCAAAGATTAAGGGCCAGTTTCTCAATGCCTGGTTAACACTAAATACACATTACTGACACCATGCATATAACACTGTGTCGGTAACGCCGGCGATGATGTTTAACTGGGGATTAGTGTTAACCAGAGTTGGTGAAAACGGCCCTAAATGGTTTAGCTTTACTTAACATCCACAGAGATATAAAAGTTATGAACAAGGAAATATTGAATAAAATCTTTACTTTTAAAAACGAAGAAGAAGAGCAATGTTATTTCTAAAATTTTCATGTATATACACTGGTTCACAAAATAATAGGGGTGTGATATTTTGATCAGTTTTGGCTATTTGTCTTTTGTTTATACAATGATTGATATTTTTCTATAAAAGTCTAGCTGGTTATACAATAAGCACCAAATTAATTCAGGTTTCAATCTTTGTAAATTCTCTCATCATATAAATTCTGGAAAGTTTCACCAAAATTTCAAAACTTTTAAACAAAATCTTAAAAAAAATTGGTATTCACTTTTGTAGCCCATTTACTTCTAGGGACAAGTTTACAGTTGGTAAAAAATCTCGTTGATTTGTAATATAAATTTATATGGTGTTTGCTGTAAATAAAACCACCTAGACTTTTATAACATAAAAAAAAACATTAAATAAACAAAAGACAAAAAGCGAAAACTGCTCAAAATATTACACTGCTATTATTTTGTGGCAACTGTATGTAAGTACTCGAATTATTAAAAAAATTAAAATATAGGCATATTTGGTGGAATTGATTAAATACATATATGGAAAAAAATGTACTATATTTGGTTTAGTGGAAAATCGGTCGATTCTACTACTTTTGAAATTAATGAACATTTTTTACATTACCACTAAACTCATTAGATTTAATGGAAAAAAATTTAATTACCACTAAAGGCATTTATTTTTAGTGGAAATATTTTCACCAAGTGGTAGTGGAAAAACAAAATCTGAGTCACACTACCTTTAGTGGGATTATAAAAAAATAGGCACCACTATATTCAATATTAGTTGTACTTGAAATTTACTCCGCCCATGTCTGTGAAAAACTAAAAGCGTAGATTTACTGCGATTGAGCTTCAGTTTTATGTGTGCGAAACACACGACAACTTTTTAATGTAAGATTAGAAGTGTTTCGGTAACTTCGTAGATAAAATTTCAACCTCTAGTCAGGGCAAGTTATCATCATTCTGGGACAAACTAATGTGCTGGATCCCTTTTGTATAGCCTCAGTGTACATAAGCGCGTATGCAAAATAGTTAGTTAGGCTGGCGTGCGCCCAGTTAGTTATACATACTACACATTTTTTCACATGTCACAGGCTTGTTGTCATTGTCCGATGTAACAAACAAAAAACAAACCAACATCAGCAACATGAAGCATGCAAACAAGCAACTTTGTGCTGCTGATACATTTGGCCGATTTGCAAAATACGAATTTCAGTTCAAAATAATTGCACAGGATACACGCCAACTTGCCGCATGCTAGCCTGCATACATACATACATACATATGTGTATACTATAGTTAGGTTAATGTATTTAATAGTAGCAAGTCAAATGCGTTCAGCAGTCAGGCCCAACTAGCCACTTGCATCATTAGCATTGATGTTGCTTTTATTGTAACTGTTGCTGCATATATTGTCAATGCACTCTCTCTCTCTCTATGTGTTTCTATGCTCAGATCAGCAGTTCGCGTTGTAATGCTTAAACGCATTGGGCACATATTGGGACGACAACAGTGGGCGACATCGACGACGAGATGCTGGGATATGAAATCACAATTTCTGAGAAATTGTATTTTGATTTATTTATAATGTTGCAACAACATGCATGCAAGAAGTTAATGTCACTAGCAACTTGGGACAGCAGCAGGTAGACAGATTTTATTTCACATTGCATATATGTATATACATATCTATGTGAATGTGAATTTAAATGAGTATTTGTTGTAAGTCAAGTCAGGTAGGCAACGACGACCAATTGCTGCCTTGGCTGTGGCAAATTGAATTGGGAATTTTGGAAATCAAAATTTTGATTAAATGTGAAATATGCAAATGTGCAGTTTGTGGAAATTAATTATGCACGAGTAAGTGCAAGTTAGTATGCATGTGAATGCGTGTGTGTGTGTGTGTGTGTGTGTGAGTATGTAATACATGCAATTGCGTGACATAACACGAGCAGCTTGCCATCTGATAAGCGAACGCGGAAACGTAAATATACAAAGCAGCCAGATGCACTTGCTAACTAAATAATACAATTACAAGTCTCCACATAAATAAATACGGCTGCATAGCATAATCATGCATTCCTGTGTACGTACGTATATGCATAAATGCAAGTGTATGTACTATGTATTGCATTATCATCCGCCTGTGGGCGTTGAAAAGTGCTTTGCCTCTGTCTACCTTTGCGATGTAATTTATTTGATAACATTTGCTGAAAGAATATTTTGCTGCCGAATAGAATTTTTATAATGTAAACAAATGCTGTAATTATTCGCTTTGCAATTACTCAATTTATGATTAGAGACCACAACTAATAATTAAATGTGGCAGTTTGTAGTTATAAAAGCTTCGATGTCTCAATTATTTATTATTATTATGCTCGCATATATATATACAAAGGCCCTATCTCACATCGTCGCTGAAATGGCATTTCATGGATTGCGGTGACGTCAGCCTTTATTTTCCCTAGGACATCAACCAGCCGGGCAGAGGCACCTTCCCGATTAGGAGTTCGGATATTCCTGGTGCGTACCATTTAATCATAGTCCTTCCTATGTTTGCGATGATCATCAAAAGAAGGTGATAAATATCATCCGAGGCATGTATTTTTTTTTATTAAGCAGGGTTTTAACGTGGCGGGACCCAAACCCAGCGCATGCGGGTTTTTACGCCCTCCCACTTTAGCTCGCTCCCAAACTAGTGTTCGGTCACTACCCAGAGGATTCATGGATATAAATATCCGGACGTAGTGAGCTGCGATTTGAACCATAAGCACACGAATCACTTCTGGCCACACCAAGGTGAATGGCAACCAAACGCTTTGCAGTACTGGGAAATGTACAAAACATAGTGGTCAAAGGC